AACTTGATCATAGCAAGTTATCCTGTTAAATTTTCTTGGATTCATATAGCTAATAAAATTTTGCTTAAGATTTACGGTCAATTTTTCTATTCATAATGTCATTGTATGATTTAAGTCTCATTGGATTGGGACATATTTCCTCTTGTCTCTGTTGTCTGAAGATGTTTGTACAAAATTGGGATTTTTTTTTCTTAAAAATGTAACACTTTTGCCCATAAAACCATCATGTCCAGATTTTTTATGTACAATATGTTCAAAGTTTATTTTGATAGTTTTAATAATCAAAAAACTGTTCAAGCTATTAATTTGTTCTTCAGTCACTTCTACTAAATAATACTTTCTAAAATTTATCTTTATTGTTGAAAGTAGTACAAATGTATTTTTTCCCCCCACTGACCTCCTCCATCCTGTACCCACCCCTCTCAGGCCTTCATCACACTATTGTCTGTAACCACAGGCTATGCATAAATGCATATAAGTTATTTTGCAAGAAAAATATGCACTTTATCTAAGCATTCATAAGCACTGACAAATTATTGTGGGTAATATCTCTTATCACCTTTTAAGTTATGGTAAAAATGTACATAAAATTTGCCATTATATACAGTTTAAAGTATATAATTCAGTGGCATTAAATAAGTTGAAAATGCTGTGCAACCAACACTGCTTCCAGAGTCTTTTCATCATCCCCAAACAGGAACTTCTTCCTTTAAACAATAGCCACTCATTTATCCCTGCCCTCAGCCCCTAATAATTGCTATTTACTACCCGTATGATTTTGCCTACTTTGGTACCTCTTATGAGTAGAATCATAATATTTGCTTTTTTTCCCTGTCTGGCCTATTTTCCTCCATATAATAATGTGATCAGGACTTTATTTCTTTTTAAGGTTTTATAATATTCCATTATAATATATGCACATTTCATTTATCCATTCATCTAATAATGGGCATTTAGGCTATTTCTATCCTTTGTCTACTATGAACAGTGTTAATATAAACATTGGTGTGTAAGTATCTATTTAGGTCTCTGCTTTTAATTTTTTTGGTATACTGGTATTCATAGAGGCGGGATTGCTGTAATTCTATGTTGAACTTTTTGAGAAAAGATCATACTGTTTCCTATAAGGCTACGCCATTTCATTCTCCCAGCAGCAATGCATCAGGGTCCCAGTTTCTCCTTGTTGTCACCGCTTTTTATTTTCCTTTCATTTGATAACCCATCTTAATGAGTGTGAAGTGGTATCTCATTATTTTTAAGATGACATTTTATAATTTAATATTTTTTATTGTTGACACTATTGGAGATGTCCTCTGGTATCACTGCCTTTGCCCTCTCTACACAGTCCCCACCCTTGTTTCTGGGCCTTCACCATACTATTGTCTGTGTTTATGGGCTACGTATATATGTTCTTGAGCAGCTAATCTCTTCACTTTGCTTTAGCCATTCTCCCCACCACCTTCCCCTATGACATTTGCCAGTCTATTCCTATGGTTCTGGTTTATTTTTTAGTTTTTACTCTTCATTAGATTCTGCGTATTAGTGAGACATGTGGTATTTGTTATTCTATGACTGTCTTATTTCATTTAGTGTAATAATCTCCAGATCTGTCAATACTTATGCAAAAGGTAAGAGCTCCTTTTTTTTTTCCTTTTCTTTTTCATTTTCTTTTACAGCTATGTGTAAACATACCACATCATTGTTATTCACTTATTTACTGATGGGCACTTGGGCTGTTTCCTGATCTTGGCTATTGTAAATAAGTTTGCTATGAACATAGGAGTGCATACGATCTTTCTGATTGGTGTTTGAGGGTCCTTGAGATATAGATTTAGAAGTGGGATTATTGGGTTAAAAGGCAGTTCCATTTTTAATTTTTTGAGGGAACTCCATATTGCTTTCCACATTGGCTGTACCAGTCTGCATTCCCATCAGCAGTGTACTAGAGTCCCAGTTTCTCAACTTCCCTGCCAGCACTTATTTGCTGACTTGTTGATAGTTGCCATTCCGAACAGTTGTGAGATGAAACCTCATTGCAGTTTTAATTTGCATCTCTCATGATTAATGATGTTGAGCATTTTCCCATATGTGTATTGGCCCTCTGTATGTCCACTTGGAGAAGTGTCTATTCAAGTTCTCTGCCCATTTTTATATTTGATTATCTGTCTTCCTTTTGTTGAGTTTTATAAGTTCTTTATATATTTTGGAGATTAACCCCTTATCCGATGAGTCATTGGTGAATGTGTTCTCTCCTACACTGGATTCTTTTTTGGTTTTGTTGATGACTTAATTTGCTGTGTGAAGCTTTTTAGTTTGATGTAGTCTCTTTCGTTTATTTTTTTCCATATTTTCCTTGTCTTCAGAAACTTATTGTAGCAAAAATATTACTACAAGAGACATCTGCCTATTGTTCTTCTAACATGGTTATGGTTTCATGATTTACATTTAAGTCTTTCAACCCATTTTGAGTTTATTCTTCTTTATGATGTACGTTGGTGATCCAGTTTCTTTTTTTTTTTTTTGCATTTACCTGTCCAGCTTTTCAACATCATTTATTGAAGAGATTGTTTTGACTCCATTGTATGATCTTGCCTCCTTTGTCAACTATTTATAATAATAAAAGCGTAATATGCTCATTAGACTGGGCATCCTTCCAGATGTCCTTCCGAATGAACTTCCAGACAACCTTCCAGATGATGGGGCTGCAAGAGAAGCCTGGGTTCCAGGTGTCTGCCAGCAGCCGAAGGGAAGCTGGTGCTGGCAGCTGGGGAAAGGAAGGCCTACTATTGCAAAAATTTTGTGTATATGGCCTCTAGTTGACTTATAAAGGGCATGGGTTGATTTCTGGGCTCTCTATTTTGTTCCATTGGTCTGTATACCTCTTCTTGTCCCAGAACCATGCTGTTTTGATTATAGTTGCTTTGTAATATAGTTTGATGTATAGTATTGTGATACCTCCAACTTTGTTCTTCTTTCTCAAGATCACTGGTACTATTCAGGGTCTTTTTGGTTCCACATAAGTGTTTGCAATATTTGTTCTAGATCTGTGAAATATGCCATTTGCATTTTAATCAGAATTGTATTGAATCTATAGATTTCTTTGAGTAGTATGGACATTTTAATTATGTGTAATTCTTCCAATCCATGTACGTGGTATATGCTTTCAATTGTTTGCATCTTCCTCATTTTCTTCAGTGTCCTATTGTTTTCTGAGTACAGGCCTTTTACCTATTGGTTAAATTTATTCCTAGGTATGTTATTTATTTGTTGTATTGTAATGGAAATGGGATAGTTATTCAGCTGGCATGGCTCAGGGGTTGAGCATCGACGTATGCCAGGAGGTCACAGTTTGATTCCCAGTCAGGGCACATGCCCGGGTTGTGGGCTTGATCCCCAGTGTGGGGCATGCTGGAGTCAGCCGGTCAATTTCTTTCTCATTATAGATGTTAATATATCTCTCTCCCTGTCTCTTATTCTCTGAAATCAATAATAAAAACATTAAAAAAATTAAAAAGAAATAGTATTGTTTTCTTCTTATTATTTTTTCCTGTTAGTTTATTATTGGTGTATAAAATTAATTTTGTACCCTGCTATTTTGCTGAATTTTTTATTAGACCTAGTAGTTTTTGGTGGAGTATTATGGTTTTCTATGTACAGTATCATGCCAGCTGCCAAAAATGACAGTTTTACTCCCTCCTTTCTCATTTGGATGCCTTTTATTTTTTCTTCTTGTCTGATCATTATGGACAGAAATTCCAACACTGTGCTGAATGAGAGTGTTGAAAGTAGGCATCTCTGTCTTGTTCCTGATTTTAAGAGAAACAATTTTAGCTTTTTCCCATTAAGTATGATATTGATTATAGGTTTTTGATACATGAGAAGATGCTAGGTATGCTTTCTCTATGTAAATATCAATTGAATCTCTCTGATCCAGTGTGTTATTTAAGCTCACTGTTCTTGATTTTTTGTCTGGAAGATTTATCTTGTTTTCATATTGAAATGTTAAAGTCCCCAATTATGACACTATTGCTGCCAATGTCTCCCTTGAAGTCCACTAAGAGTTTCTTTTAAAAAAAATATTTAGGTGTTCCTATATTTGATGCATATATGTTTTCAAAGTTTATTTCCTTATATTGTATAGATCCCTTAAGTATTATATAGTGACCTTTTTTTTTCTTCTCTTTTGTGGTCTTTGTTTTGAATTCTGCTTTGTTAGATGTATTGCTATACCAAGATTTTTGTTTATTTATTTCCATTTGCATGGAATATTTTTTTCTATCCCTTCACTTTCAGTCTGAGTGAAGATTTTTCTTCTGAGGTGGGTCTCTTGTAGACAGAATATATATAGTCATGTTTTCTTACCCATTTAGTTATCCTATGTCTTTTGAATGGAGCACTCCTTCCATTTACATTTAAGATTATTATTTATTTACAAGAGGCCCAATGAATGAAATTCATACATTCATAGGGAGGGGGGGTGTCCCTCAGCCCAGATTGCGAGAGGGCGCAGGCCAGGCTGAAGGACCCCACCAGTGCATGATGAGGGCCAGGAAGGGACACAGGAGGTTGACCAGATGGGGAGAGGATCACTGGAGGGCTCCAGGATGTGCCTGGCCTGTCTCTCTTAGTCCCGATCAGCCAGACCCCAGCAGCAACCTAACCTACCAGTAGGAGTGTCTTCCCCCTGGTGGTCAGTGCATGTCATAGAGACTGGTGGACAGGTCTACTATCTGCTCCTGGTGGTCAGTGCACATCATAGCAAGTGGTTAACCAGCCTTAGCATATCACACTTTGATTGGGTGAATGGCCAACTGGGCACTTAGCATATTAGGCTTTTATTATATAGAATAGGTACTTAAAATTCAATTCATACTCACTATTATTTAAAATTAAAATATATCCTATAAATTATTTTCAAATAGCAAATTTAAAATACACACCTAAATATACCAATGTTCACAGAAGTTTTAATTGACCATTTCTTTCTTTTTTCTCTAAAGTTATCTGGAAATATTTTGAATGTGTATAGTGGTGAGCAGGGAATTTCATCAGTTAATATGGGCCTTACAAATGCTTCCTGTTCAAGGAGTTTATCAATGAAAAAAGAAATTACAGGTAATGTTGCTTTTATAGTTTTATTCTTTTGTCATCAACTATATAAGAGAGGTATAACATATATTACCAAGCTAAATAAAAATTTTAAAGTATTAACAAATTTGTTAGTTAAAATGGGGGACATTTAGAGAGTATAACTTACAGTTCAATAAATATAAATATAAAGGACTTTATGTAAAATAGGCTCATTTAGATATTAAATAGATGCAATTTGTTAACATGGTTGAAAATAATAGATTGGGGAAAATTAGTACTTTTGTATGTAAACTTTGATATAAAATAAGCAGTTAGATTTTAGTTTGTTTTATAAATTTCACCATAGACTCGCATTTAACTTTTCTCAAGTGGATAAAACACCTCTATTTTAAATATTTTTTTTCAAAATTGTTACAGTTCAAAGGTATTATAGGACCATTGTCCTGTTCTTTCAATTTAGAGATAAGAAAACCAATGTTTAGAGGAGTTATTTTCCTAAAATCATCCAGCTGAGTAGAGGAAGAAATGGATCAAATAAGGGTTCCCTGACTTATATGTCCAGTATTAGACCCTCCACATGTGGAATCTAATGAACAAAATAGATCCAGAAACATAGAAGCATGGAATAGACTGTCAAATCTCAGAGGAAAGCAGGGGAGGGAGGATGGGAAGAGATCAACCAAAGAACTTGCATGCTTATATGTGTAACCCATGGGCACAGTCAATAGGGTGGTGAAGGCCTGAGACAGGGCGGGCTAGAAGTGGTCAATGGTGGGAAAAATGGGACACGTAATACTTTCAACAATAAAGATTAAAAAGAGAATAAAATAAAATTCAGTGGACATTTCTGTTATATATATATATATATATATATATATATATATATATATATATATATATATATTAGTTTGGTGCCCAGACATTGTTCTTTAATAATTTTTGAACAGTTAATATTAACATTTTTAGTAAATATAGTATGTCCATTCTGGAAGCCTAAGAAATAATTCATAAATATCTATGATTTCAAATAACTTAAGCTAAAATTAATGACTATAGTTTGAAATGAACACATGTAAATAAATGTATTACTTAGTTTAAAAACTAGAATAATTCAAGGAACACTGTATTAATTATCTATTGCTATATAACAAATTATTCCCAAACATAATAGCTTGAAATAATAAACAATTATGATCTCAGACCATCTCTGTGGGGACAGATATTCAAGGATGGCTTAGGAAATTGGTTCTAACTGAGGGTTTCTCATAAGGGTTTCTCATAAGGCTATAGTCAAAATGTTTGCTGGAGACAGACGTTTGAAACTAGATTGGCTGGTGGATGTGTTCCCAAGGTGGTTTGCTCGCAGGTCTTGAAAATTAGTGCTGCTTGTTGGCAAATGATCCTGATCCTTTACAAGGTGGAGTTCTGTAGGGCTGCTCAAATGTCATCCTGACATGACAAGTGGTGATCTGAGGCACAGCAAATTGGTAGCTGAAAATGTCTTTTATGACCCAGTCTTGGTAGTCATATGTCATTTTCACAATATTCTACTGTTTTCACTGGTCAATCCCTATTAGCACGAGAAGGAATTACCAAGTCTGCGAAGATCGTGAATGAGAATCATTGTGGGCTATGTTGGAGGCTTTCACAAATGCTCACAACCACATAGCATATAAAGCGTCATTTATTGGAAGTGTGGAGTTATGTGATAGTGATATATAAAAAATGCACATAGTTCCAAAACTTAGATTGTAGAAATTATAATTATTTATGAAAATGTATGTTGTAGAAATTTAGGTTGGAAAAATGTTGAATAGTCTTAAAATTCTGGAAATAATAATGATTGAGCAGTTTAATATTTGCTGTGCATTATACCTCTTTTAATCATCTCAATATTATACCAATTTTGAAAAAGAAGAGCCTGAGACACGGAGAATTTAGATAATAGATCACATGGATACTAAACAGAGGGCCAGAATACAAATTTAGGTTTTACTACTCAAAGTCTAATGGGTTTGCTATTGCCTCCTACTAAGCGTACTGTGCTTAATTTTCTAAACATCTGCCTACAAATATACAATTTGAAGCAAACAATATTATATTTTTACCTAGTGTTCCTGAATTATGTTGATGAAAGGGTATGAAGTAGAACTAAGAATTGTTTTAACTTTCTTTCTTTTGATCAGAAACTGATACTCGAGCTTTGGCAAAAGAGAGACAAAAAAAAGACAACCACAACCTCAGTGAGTATATTTTCATTTTTTTCCAAAAAAAAAAAGAGAGAGAGAGAAGAAATGCATGGATATAAAATGTGTATAGTCATTCATTGTCACTCCATAAGTATTTTGAGGTCATATGACAAACATTAATAGAGCTATTTGGGGAAATTTAAGTGATGTGGACTCTCAGAAAAGCTATCCTCTTTACAAAGTGAAACATCTCAAATTCTCTCCTGGGTCACTCCAGCTCAAGAAGGTTGCGTGGGAAGGACATGCGTGCATTTAGTTACATTTGAACTCTGTTGTGACTCAAAGGTTTAAAAAGTTAAAAGTGACTTTAGAAAGCTTGCACCATTTAAATAACAAGAAACATAACTCCAGGCTCTTATCTTCCTGTCAATCTTCTCTTTCCTTCCTCATGATAGGTTATTTGAAAGGTATTACTTACGTTGGATTGCTGAATTCCACCTGTCCAAAAAAGAATGTCTCTGATGCCTTCCGAAGGGTCCAGTTTAACTCTGGTGACAGGTCCCATGAGATGAAGAAAAATAATCAAATGAAGCAGCGTAGCCACAATGCTGAGCTAGACAGGGTTTGGTCATGTTTCAAGTGCTTAACTGTCTCACCTGAGCTTGACCAATTGAGTGTGAAGTCTTTTTGTTCTGGGACCCCAATCACAAAACGAGAGAAGAATAAAATAAGCTAAAAATAATAAATCCTCTACACAACAAACCAGGAATTCCCTCACATGTGATTAGCTGGAGTGGACTCTGCACAAACCTGCATCTGTTTGTTCCTATGCACCTGCCTATGTCACAGAGTACTCAGTTTGCTGACTGTGTGACTGAGGGATGGACAGATAGGAGATTATAACGGTCCTTGGGATAGGAGTGGCGAGGGGAATTATTTGATTCTGATAGCTCCTAGCAGCAGAGCAGATACAGTTTGGTCCAGAATATGAGACAGGTAGAACGTCAGTAAGAAGAGCTAATTATTGATACAAATAATTAATACATTAAGGAACCATGGGCTTCTATTTTAGTTTTAGCCTTCTAATTATTATTCTCCTTGCTTTTTTTCACTCTTATGTCCACAGATTTAACAACTGGCCATTTAATATAAAGTATGATAGTGCCTGGTATGTCCATTATTGAAGTATTTTCTAATCTGGTTTTCCTTTCTAATACCAGATTAGAAAATACTTCTATAATGGACATACCAGGCACCTATCATATTAACCTTGCTTTTTGGAAATATCAGAGTTAAAACATCAATTCACAATTTAAATATGATAAATCTAAGTCCACTCTTAGCATTTGTGAACATTGTGTCAGGAAGACAAAAGGGCCACTTACTAGATGCCTTAGTATTTAAAAGCTAGAAACTCTAAAAAAAAAAAAAATCTTTTCCATCCTTCCTGAGGATTAGAAGGCCAGGTGTGAACTTACAATTCTCAGATCCTCAGAGTTCTGAGTGGGAATGTTAGGGCGGGGAGATGTCAGCCCATCTCACCTGTGCCTTCACCCCATATTCCATTCTTACGTCATCAGTGGCCTCAGGCACGAGTGTGAAAACCTCATCCAATGCACTGCAGCTCCATGCAAATCCTTGCAAACAACTGCCCCTCGTCCACATCTTGGGCCTGGGGGTGAGCGCACTGATGCCACAGTTCATAGAGGGACCGGACAGGGGCGCCCGGGCTCTGGAAGTGGGCCCACGGCATTTGCAAAGTCCTCAGTGGTGTGGCTTGGAAGGGGTTCGCTTGGCCCTGTGGCTGCCTTGCTCAGTGGGAATGGGGGTGATGAGGAAAGGCAAGAGTGGTTCCTCTTAAGTGTGGAGTCCTAGATAAGGGCCCCTTTGGCCTGGAATCCTGGATCTAAGGACAGGAATGACCAAACATATCAAAAACTTTGTGAAGAGTTAAACCAGACATGGCATGAATTAACCTAGCAATTTTTTTTAAAACTTGACTCTTTTAAAAGTAGCTAGTACTGACATAAAAACATTGAGAAATCAAAGATCTCATAATTATCCATTAAACATGTATCGAGCACAGTCTAAATTGAGTAGAAACCTTTGATATTCACATACAGTGCATTTAAATAATAGATTTTGGAGAAATATTATAGGACTCCCCCCCTCCCCCCCTTATTCTGAGATAAAATAACATCCTTCATAGCTGCTATTCATTTCATGTTTAAGATTCTTTTTTATAATATAGAAGTATGTGTGAATATAGAATTATTAATAAATTCTCACTGTGAAATATATATGTATTTCTACCAGCTTTACATTATTTATTTTCTTTTCAATTTTATGTTTTTAATGTTGTGTCATTGTTTTTTGAATCACATGTTCAGGAAAAATAATATTGATAAAGAAGGAAAATAAACTCTCTGTAGAATCAGTTATATTCTAATTTCAGAGGTATTTCAATGTATTTTTTTTCTGAAGGACAATTCCATGCATGGTAAATTGCTTTGTAGTCTAGGTTCACCAAGACAATTGATAGTATTTCATAACTTTCCTTGTTTCTGGTAGCAGATCTTAAGTTTCAAACATGTATTGTTTAAGTATTTTCCAATATTTTTATATATGATTTTCTTTATGATATTTTTCTGTTTTCAATTCCCTGTAGCAGATGATAAGACTATTATATATTCTATGACTGCTCTGAGAGGGGGTCAATATAGGAAACTATGTATTTGTCTATCTGACATTTATTGACATTTATTAGATGCACTAAATTTCCATTAGCAAAGAATGCATAGACATTCAAACAGAGAAAACAGTCTCTGAATGAGAACCCATATCAATAGTTCTCAATGTGTGGGCCCTAGACAAGCAGCATGACCCAGAAGCTTGTTATAAATGCCAATTCATGGGCCCCAACCGTGACCTACTAAAATCAGAATCCTACATGTGGGGTACAAATCTATTTTAACAATACTTCCAGGTAATGTCTGATACACATCAAAGTTTGAAAATCACTGCTCTATAAATTATTGAGAAAATTTGAATTAGAACACTATTTACAGTCTAATCAACATATACTTATTTAGCTCCTCCTATTTGCCAACCACTCTGGGGTTATAAAAATGAGAAAGAAATTGTCTCTGCCCTCAAGGAGGTCATAGTCTAGTTGGGTACACAAAGCTACAATGTGCCAAACTTTGTGTTAAGCCGGGAAGTATATAAGAAGAGTTAAGTATGGCACCGACATCAAAAGATTATAATCCTTTGGACTGACAAATGCATATGTGTGAAATAATGATATATATTTCAGTATGAGTAAATATTATAACATTTCAAGGAATTAAATACATGTTTTGGGGAGGACATATTTTTAAAGCATTGTATATAATAGAAATATAATTCTAATATTGGTATTTTCACTTTCAGAATAAAATATATTAATTTTTTATTTTATTTCTGAGAAATATTCTTTTAAAAAATGGAAATTTTCATTTATTATTTTTAACTATTATTAAGAAAGTTGACAGCTATTCAAAAGTTAATTGTATTTTAATGAAAACAATAAATAATTTTGTTTTAATAGTTGAAAGAAGAAGACGGTATAATATTAATTACAGGATCAAGGAGCTTGGCACTCTTATTCCAAAGACTAATGACCCGTGAGTTCAACAATCATTTCTATAATAATGTTATGGTTTTACTACCCCCCCAAAATGGGTGGGAGGGGAGAGGGTAGAGGAGGACTAATGACTAGGAAATTAAGCAACTTATGGTAAAGATTAGGTTGCTTCTGGTCTCATTTTGAAAGATCTATTCAAGGGTGATTGTCATTAACCATCAAGGTTGTTATTAACAGTTGTCCTTTTGAGCTATAAAAATAATAAGTAAATTAGTCTTCTCAGATTATGTGAGCTTTTCTGTGTGACATCATTATTGACAAATTTAATGGTAAGATCATATGCTGTCCATGATACAGACTGCTATCTATACTCAATTTATGATTATAACAATTTTTCCAATGTAAGATTTAGATATACATGAAAATTGCATTGTTGGATTTTCAGAGGTTCTAAGTTTCTGGAGATAAGCAAGTAAAACAAATAGAAAAAATAGTATCCTAATATATAAAAACCTAGGTTCCGTAACAACTGACCAAAGGCTCAACCGGAAGTCAGTCCTGCATTCAGTGACCCTGTCACAGCACTGCTGAGGGGGCTGTCAATCGGCTCCACTTTTCTGATCAGGCCCAGAGATAGGTCCAGAGAAGCTGACTAACATAGAAACTGACCAATCAGAACCGAATCTAGGTTAACTGTGAGGAGCCAATGGCTGCCTAGAAAGCGGAGCTTTTGACACTGACTGGTATAGAAACTGACCAAGCAGAACCAAATCTAGGTGAACTGTGAGGAGCTAATGGCTGCCGAGGAGATGGAGCTTTTGATGGTAACTGAGTTAGAAACTGACCAATCAGAACCAAATCTGGGTGACCTGTGAAGGCAGAACCTAAGGTGGGAGCTGAGGAGGGGTTTTAAGGGCAACAGCTATTAGGTTTAAGGTGTAAGAAAGCAGTTTGATTTTTTAGTGACCAGTTTGGCAGTATAATGCACATGACTGGCTATCAGTCCAGATATAGAGATTATGTATTTTTGTCTGCCAAGAGCATCTCCTGCTAAAAAAGGCTTTCTCCCACCCCTATTTAAGCAATCTATCCTATATAATATATCTATACTAATAAAATGGTAATATGATAATTAGACTAGGTCAAATGGTCATCTTCCAGACATCCAACTTCCTTACAAACAAAGCCATGGTTGTGGGAACTGAGGCAGAGGCTGTTAGGGGTGATCAGGTTGGCAGGGGAGGACGGTTGGGGGTGACATCAAGCCATCAGGGGCAGGCCATTGGGGGCAAGATCTGGCCAGTAGGGAAGGGCAGTTGGGGGCAATCAGAATGGCAGGGGAGGGAAGTTGGGGGCGAGATCAGACAGACAAGAGGAGGGCAGGTAGGGGCCATCAGGCAGGTAGGCAGAGGCAGTTAGGGGTGATCAGGCAGTCAGGCAGAAAGGTTAGGGGCAATCAGGCAGGTAGGTAAGTGAGCAGTTAAGGGCTAGCAGTCCCAGATTGTGAGAGGTATGTCTGATTAGAGAGGGTACAGGCTGGGATGAGGGAACCCTCCTTCTGTGCACGAATTTCATGCATTGGGCCATTAGTTATATTATAAAAAACATGTTGACTGATGCCAACCACACTAACTGATTATCATAATGAAATTTTTAGTCAAGTTTTGGTATTGTACAAAGTCAGTTAAACAGATGTTTGAGATTTTGAATTTCAACAAATAGTTGATTGATTAAAGTATCAATTTAGAATAGTGAATGTTTTTCCCAAAACAAACAAACAAAAAAACATGATCTGTAGCATCAATAATGACTTGAAAAATGTTTCATTCAGACTGAGAACTGGCCTCTATAATTCAGGAACAATGATGTTGGATAAAGTGATATTTGTAAAATGTGGAAATACTTTCCCTTATATCCAAATGTGCCAATTCATTCAGACAATTCAATAATTGGTGACAGAAGGAATGCAATATTTGTTCTCCTGGGCGTCTAAAATACCATAGCAGAAAGAGCACTAGAGATGGAGTATCTGAAGAGTTCAGTGTTAGTTGAGGCCCTACTAATAACTCTTCAAGAGTTTAAGCACCCAGCTCTTCCTATTAGTAGAAAGATTAAACATTTTCCTGATAGGATTTTTTAACACTTAAAATATAAGTGCACATTTGTTTATCAATCATTTTATTTAAGTCCAAGGTCTTTTTATTTGAACATGTGTTTTAATTTTTATTTCAGAAACTATACTAAAATGCATAGTATAATTTTTATTTATTTATTATTTATTTATTTATTTATTTATTTATTTATTATTTAAAAATATTTTTGTTGATTTCAGAGAGGAAGGGAGAGGAAGCAAGGGATAGAAACATCAATGATGAGAGAGAATCATTGATCTGGTTGGTGCCTTCTGCACCCCCCCGACTGGGGATCAAACCTGGGGCCCTTGACCAGAATCAAACCTAGGGCCCTTCAGTTGGCAGGCCATGCTCTATGCACTGAGCGAAACTGGTGAGGGCCATAGTATATTTTAAGTTATTTAAAATAAAACAAAAACTTAGAAAACACAAGCATAGATGGATTTTAAAAATGTTTATTTTCATCTTAGTTCCTTTGTCCAAGTTTTTTCTTCCAATGAGAATAAATAAAAGAAATTTGGGGCCACAAGGCTCCCTACTGCTTAGAGTTTTTCAGATGCAAATACTTCCTTGGTTTAATGACTGAAGTAGCTGCTTTTCTCCTGCCTTCACACCACCAGATAAGTCACTTGTGAGAGAAATGGGACCAATAGCTGTTACAGCCCTTGAGAACTGACAAAGCATTTTCAAACTTGAGCTGGACACCGAGTAGTTTGACATTTCAGTAGAAGGCTCCTCCAGTCCCTGGTAAACATGTTCACCTGATGGGCTGAAAAATACAGCTCCCTTTAATTGGTTGAAATTAATGGAAATGTCATCTAACATGAACTTCCAATGATTCATACTATACAAGCCAGATTTTTTCTTAAAGTCTCTTTCCCCACTTCTGATCACTTAGTAAATATATATTGAGCTCAAGATATTTTACTAAGGTCAGGTAAACTAAAAAAAAAATATGCAGTGTAATACTTTTTTAAATTTAAAATATATTTTATTGATATTTTACAGAGGGGAAGAGAGAGGGATAGAGAGTTAGAAACACCGATGAGAGAGAATCATTGATCAGCTGCCTCTTGTACACCCCCTACTGGGGATGTGCCCACAACCAAGGTACATGCCTTGCCCAGAATCGAACCTGGGACCTTTTAGTCCATAGGCCAACGCTCTCTCCACTGAGCCAAACTGGTTTCAGCTGCAGTGTAATACTTTTTAAAATTTTCCCTACATGCTTACTTTAAGTTGTATTTAAAATACCTCATGATTCTCAATTGAAAATTCATCAAGGTTTCCCAAAAGCTCAGGTTAATTTTTAGCATTTAGTTTGGCCTCATTCTCCTCAAATATCATTAACTCTCAGATAACATTACATTTACTGATGTGTGTTTTCAGATATTAAAATTAGTAGCTTGTTCTGTGATTTCAGATTTATCATCCTCCTATTTTATAAATGCGTTTAAATAAATTTTGTTCTATGCAATAGCCTGAAAGTTTATCTGATAATGTTTAATGTATTTACTTAAATGAAACATACTTAAAAATAAGTATCCAGCTTTTTAAAAAAGCATCGATACGTTAGTGCAGGAAAAAATTGCTTAATAATTCTAGAAAGTTTTGCTGTATTGCATAAAACGATGTTGCCAAATTCTGATTTGTTTCATAATCACTCAGGATCACCATTGAGGAAGACCTTCCCCCCCCCTTTTTTTTTCCCTTAGAAGCATAAAGGCAACCTTATTAGAAAGTAGGTACATTTGAAACAATCTTTAAAAATTTAGGCTTACGTCCTCAATAATGTACATTTCCTAGTTCATTAATGCAGAAATACCACACATAGATTTTAATCTCAGAGTTAATAATAAAAGCAATTTTCACTAAAAATATAAAAACTGTAATGGTAGAATCATGATATTGCATTTAGCTCTCCCACAAAAAAGTCACTTTATTACTTTCCTTTGACACTTATTTTCATTCTGGGATTAATTTTACTATATAAGGGCTCCTTAACTATTCTATTAAAATTTCTATTCAGAAGCAATAATATCTAAGAGTGAATAATAGTCATGTAAATCATTATTTCACATTAATGTAAAAGATTTTTAAGTTCTTATGAATTCTGCTGACACGCACAATTGTGAAAAGGTTATCTCTGTTCTACAGTGATACGCGCTGGAACAAAGGGACCATTCTGAAAGCATCGGTGGAGTACATCAAGTGGCTACAAAAAGAACAACAGAGAGCGCGGGAATTAGAGCTCAGACAGAAGAGATTGGAGCAGGCTAACCGGCGGCTTCTACTCCGGATTCAGGTTGTTATAAGAATGTTGCCACGAACCACGCAGCTTAACTGTGACTGACTTGTCATCGCTTTCGTGCCTTGGTCTCATTTATTGTTTCTTATTAATAATTATTTTTCCTCTGGCGGGTAACTATTGTCTTTTAGGAGTTCATGCATTGGGTTGTTTCGGTTAGGTTTTGATTAGAAATCTAGGGTTGAGAAGGCTGTAGGAAAATAGAATGAATGACAACTAATTGCAAAATGCAGAAAATAGGATGGATTTTTATAAAGGCACATGATATTATTTCAGCCAAATAATAATAATGAACTAGATCATTTCCTTCTCTACATAATATGGAACATTCTATTCTTCCTTCCCCCTCTCACTTCCTTAGTAACACTGCTGTGGATTCTACTGCCACAAGCATATTGTCACTGCTCTTCTGTTCATGTGACACAAAGTATTAAAGTATGGGTTTTTATAACTCTCAAGTTGTTTTTTGAATCAGTATGCTTATAGCTAGGTAAACATTTACTTTGTTTCCAAGGAACTGTAATATAGTGAGAAATTAATCTGGAAAAATAAATGGAATCCCTAGAGGATTTGGCTCAGTGGTTAGAGCATCAGCCCAAGAACTGAAGGGTCGTGGGTTTGATTCTGGTCAAGGGCACATGCCTGTTGCAGGCTCCATCCCCAACCCAGTCAGGGTGTGTGTGAGAGACAACCAATTGATGTCTCTCACTTCTATATTTCTCTGTCTCCCCCTCTCCCCCTCCACTCTCTCTAAAAATTAATGGAAAATTATCATAACAAAATAAAAAATGAAAGCTTTTTTATGCACTTTAAATGTAGTCTGAGTCACTATGAGACCATAGTGTATTCCCTTATAGAATAAGGAGAGGGGAATTTTTTTTAATCTGCATATTTTGAGGGTTATATTTTTAGTCAATAGAAACACAGCAGATTCTATTATTTGTAAGAATGTTTATAATTTATATTACTCTTCATTTTGAATACTTAATATTTTGGTTCTATTACTTATTCTATAGAGTTAAGTCCACTTTCTTTTTAAAAAACATATTTTTATTGATTTCAGAGAGGAAGGGAGATAGAGATAGAAACATCAATGATGAGGGAGAATCACTAACTGGCTGCCTCCTGCATATTCCCCACTGGGACGTGCCCTTGATAGGAATCAAACCTGGGACCCTTCAGTCTGTGGGCGGATGCTCTATCCACTGAGCCAAACCAGCTAAGGCTTGAGTTAAGTTCCCTTTCAAAGTCATTATTTAATCATTCTCATTTGAAATTTCAGGAACTAGAAATACAGGCTCGTGCTCACGGTCTTCCATCCCTGGCTTCCCTTGGCACAATTGATGTGGGTGCTCATGTCAACAGACAGACCCATCCTGAGCAGAATTCAGTGGACTATTGCCAACAGTCAACTCATTTGCAGGGAATGAACCCTGAGTTCTGTGACCAAGCTTTGTCCTTCTCCGATCCTTTGTCACACTTCACAGATTTGTCATTCAGTGCTGCTTCAAACGAGGAACAAAGATTGGATGACATGCTCCTGGACACTTTATCTCCTTTTGGGAAAGACCCTCTGCTATCGGCCGCTTCCCCTGAAGTTTCCAAAGAGAGCAGCAGGAGGAGCAGTCTCAGCTCAGATGATGGTGATGAGTTATAAAAAAGCAAACACACCCAGTCGATCAACCAGGAAACAATGCCATGCTGATGATATGCAATTATGTTCGTTGCTTCATATATTGCTTTGGCTCCATTTTTCTGAAAGGACTGCATTGTTCATGAAAAACCAATGGAGTGAATAACAGCAGTATAATGGAATTACAGGAAGAAATATGGTGCTGAAGAATTATTGAGGGCTAAAAAAAATGTTTTCCTTGGACAGAGTCCAAACGAAGTTAACTTTTATTTCCTGGAAATAGCTCTCTACTTGATGTACTAACAGACTGCAAAGAGTAAACCTCAGAAATATGCAAACATTTTCTTCGTTATTCACTAGTATTTCCTTTTTAACTCTTAAAACAGTTTTCAAGAATCATGATCAATAGATATGGTAGTTTATTGCCTTTCTCCACTGTCTGGTTAAAAGACAGATTATCTATCAGTCATAATGGAAAAGTGGATCTACAATTAACTTGAGAATTTTCTGCAATAAAATACAAATACTTATTTTAAAATGTTTTCTAAAAGTGTATGCTACTTACTTTAGTCTGTTTAACTGCACAGATTCTAAAAGTATCTCTGTGCATTTATGGAGATACTCCCTGTTCAGAAAAGGGAACACATCCAATTCCTTCCTTAAGAACGTGGATTGGAATTTTTGTCTCTTCACACAGACATACCCCAACATACATGTATACAATGAAGGTAGTATGTGTTTTTTCCTTCACTTTTTGCTTTTCTATTTTGCATAAGAAATCACATTTCAAATTTTTTTTCATCAAGAAGAGATGTTGGATAATCTATTCAGCAAATGAACTTGAAAAAGAGTACTGTTACTATGACAATTTGTCAGGTATTTACAATTCATCAGTATGTCTAGTATGGATTGTAAAATAATTAGTTGCCAATACAGTTTTGCTTCAAATTAACAAAATAGTGAAAATTGGATTGCCAAGTAACAAAATAATTTGTAAAACAGAAAGTCTTATACATTCAGCTCTGAGCTAAAGTTCTATTCTCATAGAACTTAGAGTACCCTATGATTTTTGCTAGCTTCGTTATTATTTGTTAAGAATATTTATATTTATGATGTTTTAATAAGATTTTTCTCTCTTGAGTTTGTTTTAGGAATGGGAACTGACTTACCAAATACACTGTTCTGTGCTGCATCTCTGTGAGTGCTCATCTGACCAATGAGTATTTGTTGAGCAATACTGAAAAGTTTCGTGAAAATAAAAATATATGGTCTCACCCCTCATAGAGTTAAAGACAACATGAGAAACAACAAAAAAAAAGATAAACAACATATAGAATTAAAGCCCATGGGGAGCAGCATAGGGTAAAGATTACAAAGGGTCAGAAAAACAAAAATGAATGAAGTTTGGAGAATCACAAAAGTCTATGGGAAGAACAGAATTCAACTTCTTTTAAAAGTGTATAAACTGAGTGAAGGGAAGGGAAAGTAGAGCAATGATATTAACCAAATGATAAAAATGAAAGTAAGTGGAAGTATCCTAAAGGGACATTATTAGAAACGGAAAATTTATCTGGCCACCCTAGAAGATGCTTGTTGGGGAGTTCTGAAAAGTATTATTATCAACAGGTTGTGAAAGCCATTGAAAACTAGGATAAAATGACATAGTCGAAATCTGATATATTATTAGGAGAGAGAAGTCTAAAAATTAAAATGCTTTGGCATATTACTAACACAATTGAGATGTAATCTTTCATGCATATTAACTTGGTGATAAATGTTTCAGAGTATTTTAAGTATTACTTACATGGAAAATATACATCATCACAAAATTTGAGACTAATGATGATGAAAGAGGGAAAATATTACATCTTTATGGTATAATAATTATCTCGGGCTTAGTTTATAACATTAGCTTAGAGATTGGATAATTAATTTTCATTCACATGGAAAAAGTAATTCTTAATTTATAGGAACAATCATTAAGCCAGAAATATAAATTCATTTATAATATGCTATGTGAAAGAGAGCAATAAGATATACTTCCTCAAGAATATTTAGGAGAAGATTATATACTTTTAACTTTATGACAAAATTAGACTTTTCTACCTGAGGTGCTAATTTAACATTGAAAATTACAGAGAAGCAAAATGTTTTAGGGTCCATGGAAAACATATCATATATAGATAAAGACTAATTTCTGTTCTCATATTATCAATTATTATCTTTTCTTCAAAGTCGAAAAGACTTGCTTGGATGATGTCATTACTCCATCATCATGGTTCCATTCCAAATACTACTACCTAGCCCTGAAATCTATTTCTTTTATCTTAGCTAATTGTAATAACTTGACACCAGATCTGGACAAAAGAGATCTGGAAAGAGAATCAATATTTGTTGCTACTTGCAGATTTTAATAACTATTAGGAGATTGTTAAATGGCTAATGATTTTTTTAAAAAATTAAGTAAGAGTGTTCTGTGTCACAAGTTATAGATCTTCTCTCCAGAAAAATACAGAATTGTATATACCGGTACAGTCAAAAATATGCATGCACAAAGTAGTGTTAGCCTGGCCAGTGTTGTTCAGTGGTTCAATGTCCACCTATGAACCAGGAGGTCATAGCTTGATTACAGGTCAGGGCACATGCCTGGGTTGCAAGCTCCAGCCCTGGGAGGTTTGGGGGAGAGGGTGTGCAGGAAGCAGCTGATCGATGATTATCATCATTGATGTTTTTATCTCTCTTTCTCTCTCTCTGAAATCAATTTTTTTAAAAAAACACACATATTTTTTTAAAAAGAGAGATTTTAAGAACTTCCTACATATACATTCCTGTTTCCCCGAAAATAAGACATCCTCCCCAAATAAGACCTAGCGCAACTTTGGGAGCAAAAATTAGTATAAGACACTGTCTTATTTTCGGGGAAACAGGGTAGCTCCATAGATTCCAGGTGAAAAATTCCTGCATTAGGTCTGTTACTTTAATATATAGTATGTATCTGTGTATCCACAAAGAGCTGAGTACACAGTTAACATTACATATAATAATGGAGGAGGAGCCCTAGTTACCTGAGTATCATTATCCCAGCACCAATAATGATGAGGTTTCACAGGGGAGTGAAAGAATTCTATAGTCCAAACACTCTAGACAATCTACTAAGGGAGATACTCTTATTAAATAGTCCCCTTTCAAACACTCTGTTATTTATGTATGACTCCTGCTATATATTTATGTCAAATATTTATGGGTCAGTTTCTCTGACTACTGGATGTTGCAACCATCTTATGATAACATTGAAATGGGTAAAAAGTAAAAATTATGAAAATCCTAAAATAAAATTGAGTAGATAAGAATCATGAATGAACCTTGGGAAAATTGTCCAGAATAGTTTTGCAGAAATTACACTTAACATTGAAAGAGTAATATTGTTCATTAAACAATTTTTATCACAAAATCATTAGCCATCACTGGATTATTAATACACAATCAAGCCTATTCATTCAAAGGATTAATGCATATGTACAATATCATGTCATCTGTGAATAATGACAGTTTTACTTCTTCCTTGGCAGTTTGGATACCATATTTTTTATTCTTGTCTGATCATTGAAGCTAGTACTTCTAGTGCTATATTGAATAACAGTGGTGGGAGTGGCGGATATCCTTGAATTGTCCAGTTCTTAGGAAGAATTGTTTTAGTTTTTGTCCATTGAATATGATGTTGGCTGTTGGTTTGTCAAATACGTCCTTTATTATGTTGAGGTATGCTCCCTCTTTTCACACTTTGCTGAGAGTATTTATATAAAAAAGTGTTAGATTTTTTTGAATATTTTTTCTGTGCAATTGATATGATCATGTGATTTTTGTCTTCCAATTTGTTTATGTGATGTATCACATCTATTGATTTGTGAATGTGAAGATGGAGGAAAGAGATTGACTGGGAAACTTATATCCATATGTGCACAGCCCATGGACAGAGACAACAGTGTGGCAAAGGCTTGGGAGGGGCAGGTGCAGGTAGGAGGGGAGTTAATGGAGAAAAGAAATCCAAAATAAACAATAAAGATAAATTTTAAAAAAATTATGCATAATTGCAGTGAAAGTTAAAACTTTGTGACAATAAGATTAATTAATTTATTGTATTATTTTTAATTGTCTTTGAATGATAATGTCCTATCCAATCTAGTTCTCTATTTTTTCTAAAATATTGACCACCTTTTCATAGATTTAAATAAATGAATCTTCCCAACTCCCAATTATATTAAGAAGGGCCTCTGGTGAATTGATATATACATTCATAATTTCTATTCAGTTCTTTCTTCTCAAACTTTTTTCATAGCTGAAGAATATATTAAAAGACCACATTTCCTCAGTTTATATATATGATATTAGTGATTATAACTTTTTTATGTGGGTATAAAACCTCTAAATAATAACTAGTGAGATGAGCTGAGGAAATTGATAAATAGACTTCCTCCTTTTTAAATTCATGTTCCACTCAGATAACTGTAAATAAAATATTTAATAGCTCCTGCTTAAAAAAATTAGACACAATGAGTTTCTTCATTCGGTATACTCGCTTACCTTAAAGTGGGGGAGAAATTAGACTTCACAATGAAATCAAGAATGTATTCTTCCTCTGTTTTGATAGATTTGAGTCATATTGGCATTTTGTTATACTTCAAGGTATTATGAAAATACTTTTTACTGTTGTGATATTGTGGAATTTTGGCATTTAAATAAATGAATGATATAACTAAATGTTTCAATGTTTTTACAATATCTCTAGGCTGATATTTACTGACCTTATAATATCTAAGATGTAAATGAAAACGGGAATCCATTCGTCATCTTGCTGCGTTATGAGCACTACATCAACTATCTGTGTTTCATGAAATCACCTGAAAGATTGAGTTTTACCACCGTATTGATAATGGCACAGCCTGCACATGCTACACGAAATTACATTATTTGCCCCTCCAGTGCCCTGCAAGTTGACAAGTACAAGATGTCAATCTGAGTTAGTG